CTCAGATGCATGGTTTATTGCTTCTTGATATTACCCAGGGGAGTTGAGCTACTTGCCACTTTTAACTCCATGTTTGCAAACCCAGGGCAGCGAAGCCACTGCCACTATTGACACTGAATAGTCAACTGACACCAATTTCTTCTACTTGACATCAATTCATATTGTTTAACTAGATCAGTGAATTCATCTCAAGAGAACGTGGTAAGTATGCCTCTTCGCATTTTCCTGAACTCGGCGCACATGGGCCCCCGCACAGGGGGGTGGACCGCTGGTCCGTTTAGGGGCTGCAAACACGCCAATGGAACACTGCAGATCAGTGACGATGAATATTCTATTACATTGTTCCGTTACATTACATTAATTTTTTTTTAAAGATACTGTCCTTTGCGCTCTTTAATGCGTCAATGGGTTTAGGCAGTACACTCACCCGAAGTAGCACGTGACCTGTAGCTCCCAACCAGAGTTTTGTGCCTTATCTTTCGAAGATGGAGAGTGCTGTTACTCAAATCGGGTGGGAAGAGTCATCTTACATTTGGGAGATTCGAGATTTCATCGACCTCCGCGAAATGGCCAAGGAAGACTGTCAGTTATTACCGCCTATGCCGAGTCTCCCTCCGAGCACTCGCCGTTCAACAACAGCGAACGAAGATACACCAATGAATATGAAAAGAAGAGAAATTCTGCCCTAATTGACTCCGCACATTATGGCTGAGAGCTGTTGTGCAGCTTCACGCGGATTGCACTGCATGAATGTGAGTGACAGTCACACGCGCACTTTGTCTGTGCGGTCGAATTTGCAGCTTCCTGCTCAGCAAGTCGGTTGGAAAGTCCTGTATTCAAGTGCTTTTCACTCTGGCTATTCCCTAATGGCCAGGAGCAGCACGATTCTCTCGGTTTAATAGATCTCGCCATAATGTTTAAAGGCAAGAGAGGCTCCGTCAGAGCCAAGTGGACTGCCTGTTTCCTTGATGCAAACGGAGAAATGAGTGAGCCAAAGCACTACAGTTTCTGCATTTCACTAGTTTTACGAGAAACGCAACTGCTTAGGACTGCAAGCCTAGAAATGTCCCACACTACCTTGCCTCGTCGATGCGTTGGAGAACCAAAGAACTCTTTGCATTCGTGGGCTAGATGAGTTCTTCAATGGAGGCAAAAGCTCTCCATCTGTTTCTTGAGGCGCCATCCATCTGCCCATTGCGCCGTTTTCATATGACAGTCCCTCGCACTCGTCTGGCTGATCCAGTGAAGAAGTATTCACCTGGGGGAGACGGCAGACGCTTCTCTTACGCACCTTCGCCAGAAACTCTGGACTCTTGGCTTTCCAATGGGTCGCTACGAATCTACTGTCAGGCATTTATTGCCCTCGACTGCAAGTCTGAGAGCATTTCTCAACTGCGTGAGCGACCAGTATTGCAGTCTGGCCCTAAACACATCGCTCAGCCTGAACTGAAAGCATCTAGTTTTGTCAGTTGCCTGTCGTTGCACACACGCCATTATAACGCTTTCAGTACGTTTGCTGCTGATTTTATGCGGTGCTGTTCCGAAGGCCGATGCAGAGCCACGACATCTTCCGGTGCAAAGCTTTGCATGCGTTTCCCACAGGCGCAGCACCCCAAACACCGCCTGAGCGGCTTAAGGCTGACGTGGTCCAGTACGCTCTTCAACCCGAGTCGCATGACGTTCGAGTTTGGTGCTGCAGTTCAGTGACAAGCTGTTGCCGCTTTCTTCTTGCGGCTCGATCCGCTGTACGTTACTTCAATATTGTATTGGCTTGTGACAGCCTTGTCTAGGCACTTCCTAAGATCGCAGAATCACGGCGACCGTCGTGCATGGACCTCAGCACTGTGCTTGAAGGGAGCACTTCTTCTGCCGTACCTGGATCCCCCCTTTCGAGTTTGTCTCCCTATTCTGTGGACTGTGGCATTATACTGCAGGTGCTACGCAAGATGTTGAACGGGCCCTTCCGAGAAGCAGAAGCAGCAGATGTTCACTTGACGGACATTTGTCCTCAGGCTGCTCACCAAATGCTTCTTTTTATTCACACAGATACGTGTGACCTTTTCAAGGAGCTAAGACGCACTGCCTCTCTCGCAGAGAAGCAGCAACGTAGGGAAGCCCTCATGGGTCTCATCACGGCCGCAGACAAGTATGATGTGCAGGTGCGGTAGTTTAATAGCTGCTTGCAGAGCTTGAAACGGCCGAAGCCTAGGGCGCATATCAGTACCGTGCTCAGAAGAATGGCAGTTGACAGTTTCATGGTACAGTAGCCAAAGATGTCGTCGGAACCATCATGACTAACATGGCCATTATTGTGAAGGAGATTCCTACGGTGCGAAGTTTAGACGAAATAAGGCCTGCTTTTTGTAATTGTGCCGGTGTGTATGGAAGGGACTGAAAGAAGAGTGTGAACAACAGCTGGCCACGCTCGTGGACGAGGACTCTGTCTTTGATGTACTGCTGTTTGCGGAGTCGAGAAACTTTACCCGCCTTCTAGACGCAGGTACTCACTGAAGTTCGAGCTTTTTGTCACAACCGTGACCCGGGCTCTTGGTGGCGCCAGTGAAGTCGATCCCTCACTGAGTGCGCAGTATGTGGGTTTCGTTGCTTCCAAGTATACAGCCAAAAATATGAATTTGGATTCAAGAACAACACAGGCGTATCACGTAAATGACCTCTGTGTGCATTTCTTGTCACACCAAATGGCACGAGCTTAAGAGCTACTGTGTACGCTGTTTGCAGGCCAGAAGCTATTGCAAGGAATGCCAGCTCTTCAGCTGTGGACAACCTGGCGAAGTAGACCCACTGGATATTTTAAGCACATGGTAGCCTGTGAGACTCGAGAGAGCACAGGAGACAGCTGTAGTAACTGGGCCCACAACGATGAAACCGAAACGTTGTCTCTGTGCCCTTCAGCAGCAATCTCGTAGTTCTGGAATTCCACAAGAGGACAAAGCGATTTCACTGTTGCCGATTATTTAAGTAATCGACAAAAAATGGTCATGGCCAGGGTTGTGTCATTTGATCCCTTTCAACTGTAATCCTTAGCTCAATGGTTTCCAGTTAGCCAACTTGACAGTCCAGAACATGTCCTCACTTATTGATAGGCACTTCTTAAAGGGACGAGCATGCGGTCTTCCCGCGTGAAGGCCTTAAACGTATGAGTGTCAATAAGGAAGAGATAGACTGACAAAAGCGCCGCTATGGTGACGCAGAGCAGCCAGAACCCTCGGAGACCTGATCACGGCGATAATGTAGTGCATATATGCTAAATATACAGAAGGACTTGAAGGCTTTATTGGAGCTACCATAAGCGGCGTATATGGGTAGTCCGGTTAGCTGAGAGAGACTGGCGTCAAGGAAGAACAAGCATGCATTCAGGCCAAGAACAGAGCCAAGTTCCTGCCTCTGGACGAGTTTTGTCATTTGGGATGTGCAGCAGATGTACCTGTGAAAATTTCAAGTAGTGAGAGCAGGTTACCAAATGCCACAAGTAGCTGCTGCGTGATGTGCCTTAATGTAATTAATATGGAGCACAATGGGCCCGAAATGGGCCGACCATTCAAAGCAAAATAAAGCCACGCTGGCAGCCGCGAGTCACAGCAAGCATATGACGTACAGAAGTGCACCTCCACAGACTGAAAATCGAAGATCGGCGGTTTTTCCATACGATATGTGAGTATTAAGTTTTTACGTGGAGCAAGGAGCAGAAGAAGGGTCTCAGCGAGCCGAAGGTTGGGGAAGCAGAGAAGGCTGAGCATCAGAAAAGGGACGTCCTAGATGCGTCGAAGATGAATAAAGCACTGGAACTGACCCGCAGAAACCAAGAAGAGCAATTGGGCATGAATACTTGATGCATGCGCGATCTCCTGAAGAGCGTGAAACACATATTTGAGTGAGGCTGGCTTCACTCCAACTTACCAAAGCGTGTGGCTAACAAAGGGGCGAGGATGCCTATTCGTGCCTGCTATGTTTGCGTTTCTCTACTGGCGTATCCTTGTAATTCGAAGTACCTTCAGCAGCTAAGCGACAACGACGAACGTGAGTTGATTAGCCCATTCGAATAAAAGTGCATACCATACCGATCATGATAGCCCCAATGACGGTAACGAGGATGTTGCTTTGAGCTGGCTGTCCGAGCAGCTATCGCTCTCCTGGAGAGCTCCGTTGGCATACACCTTACCGTGAGTTCTGAAAAGGTGAATTATGTGAATGGCACTTGCTTCCCCTGTTTGTTAGTTAAACTGACGGTACATGTGCACGACAATAGGCGTGAATGCGTAGCGCGCCATCAAGATCCTGAGTGCCTCCGCCATGACCGTGTACAGAGCAGGAAAATGAGGTGGAAGTGAGCTCACGGGAAAAGCCCAACCACCATAATCACACAGCTTGAGGCACAGCTGTACGCAATAGAACGAAACCGCTGAATCTCCGCTTTCACTGAAAGGACGCCTGTGTGGCGGCATTTGGAGACTGAACTGCCTTTAATGGACACCAAAAAAGTTGGAGAGAGCTTACCAAAATCTGGCAGTCTATGCGGAGCATTGAATAGCTCGTTAAATTCATCTGAAAAATTTCTTATAATTACAAACTAGAAGGCGTGGGTGTAGAAACCGGAAGCGGCAAGCACTGCTGCGGGACAGCAACGCCAAGCTGCGGCCGACGCACCTAGCCCAAAAGCAACGAAACACCCAACGAGCTGAATCGCAGAGGCCACGATGAGCGTTCCCCGTGGCCCAATAGAGTTTGCCAGCGAGGCGCCTATTGCGCCGCCCGCAACAAGGCCAAGGCAATATGAAAGATTCAGGTATGCTAATTGTGCGGTTCGATCTCGTTCTCCAGTTTCCAAAGCGACGACCATCATCGCTGCTTGTGTTCCGTGGATCATCAGCCCAGGGAGCTGGCTGATGAAAAGTGCTGGGAGGCTCGATGAAACAGCCATCTACAGTATGACACTCCATTTTAGATGCACATCCTAAGCTAGCAGTGACCATCCACTCACCATGATGTACATGAGGCAGCAAGATGACATCGCAAGAACGAAGCTGGAGGAAACTCAGCCCTGCGGTAACAAGTTCTCGTTACGAAATCGAATAAGAAATCTTACGCGCTTCGTGGTCCTAGCGCATCACCGATCCGCCCAAAGACTGGTGCTCCCGCAAGCTGGCACATCGAAAAAATCCCTAGGGGGAAAGCTCAGAAACAAGTAAGCGAAACGTTGCATGTGAAGGCTCACCTAATACCCAGCCGTTAGCCTTTGCAGCAGATCGCAATAGAGCTTCTCATTCTCCTTATTATCTACTCGCACAGCTCATCCCTTACCTGGACAGGCTGCTGGAGCTCCATAATTATGTAAGGAAGTAGTGCAATCTAAAAAATGAGATTTCCCATTCAGCGGACTGCAACGAGAAGCACTGGGCGGACCTGCATGGTAAATCCTGTTGCGTAAATAGCGAGCAAAGAGTGGCAAATGCCTAAAGGGCTTCGCGCGAAGTCCTTGAAGGAAACTATTGTGAATTCGGCTCTCTGTTTGACATTCATGCTCGCGGATCTCAACGAAAAAGACATTTCAGCGAAACTCAGTCTCTGCGCTTATTTTGAAATTCGCCTTGTGTACGCTGTCTGTCTTCTGAGGAAAGGTTTGAAGAGACATATATTAGTAATTCATCAGGGCTCAAGTGAAAAACGTCAAAGTTCCACCGGCAGGCGTCGTGTCCACATGAGTGGCCAGGTTATCAACTTATGGTGTACCGGCACCCCGCGGACAGAAACCGCCTAAGTATCGGAAGAACACAGCTCGCATTTTACAGCTGAGTTAATTTCCTCGTATCGCGGGTTTTTTCCAAGCCTCAATGGGTAGTCGAGGACCCCTGGGAATTCACTATCGACGACGTCCATGGCCTGACGCAATACTTCGGCGGGCACCTCGTCTGGGCAGGAACACCGTATTTTGGTATCTGCAAGGTCCCACGGATGACAGCTGAAGTTAAGATGTCATGCATTCAACCTGCAATTCGTTTTGTGTTGCCCATCATCCTAGTAGTGGCTGGCGGTGGGCGATCTCGCAGCTTTAGCAAACAATTATGTCACTGACATTGTGGTGGTTCTTACCAAGTGCTTGTCTGAAGTGTCTTTGGCCTGGCATGCCGCTCAAAACGCCTAAAACTGGCTTCAACAAGACGAAAGGACTTTTCTGTTTCCTGTGCCTTGCTTCGTATCGCTCTAGGTAATCTATATATGCCTGAAAGCCACGAAATGCCATGCAAATACAAACCTGCCATGGATCTTATGTGGAACCAGATTACTTCATACTTTTACCGATCACACGGATCAGGCCTACCAGAAGAAGGCTTCGTCTGCACTGCGCGCTTTCTGGGTTCTCTCTAGATCCTGCGTTCACACAAAACGGAGGTGCAGCTGTTTTGGTTTTGCCCTGCAACAAAGACCTTTGAGTGGCACTGCACAACTAACGACCGAGGCAGAATCTTGGTCGCGGTTAATACGCACTCCGGCGGTACACTGAGGCCATTTCCCAGCACTTTCCAAATCACTCACCATAAATTAGTTTGTCAGCTTGTGCGAGACAGCAAGGGTCATTCATTGCTGCTCTGCCAATCATGACCCCGTAAAGACCGGAGTACTGCGAGCCATTTGTTACATCCGCATCGGGAATTTGCGGGTCTTTTGCTTCGGCAGTGTCGCCGGCTTTCCATTCTCCCTTAAGCAACTGCTGAGCCAACTCCAGCGTTGTCACGCCCCCGTTTAGAGAGAAGTGGAGTTCAGGGAAGGCTTCTTGCAGCTCGAACACCCTGCATCGGATATATTGGGCGTCGACTGAGGCTCAGTAGTAGAGACTTAAAGTGTTTATTGAGAAAATGCATGCGACATGCGTTGCCCCACACCGCTGTTTCGAAGTTACCATGCAAACGCACCTGTGGTATAGCAGAGGTGGGACAGAACGGTTCTTTTTCGGGTCCACCCCCTGTAATCAACAGCAAAAATAGATTAATGAAATCAGAAGCAAACGGGTCTTTGCTGCAACCGTGGGCGCTCCCCACTGATTTGTGCATTTGTCGAAAAACTGAGAAGATAGTGTCGATCTGGGGGCAGATAGTACGACATATTTTCCGTGTAATCCAGGGACAGCATACTTGGAGCCATGCCTTTCTTGCGTGCACGATGAAATGCTTGCAGCCGCCTTGCGAAACAGTCTGAAAATACCGAGAAGCTCAATCTGCATCACGCGTCCCTATAAACTTTCAAACAGATTCATTCAAGGTGGTGCGCAGCAGTTTCCGCGTGAATTCATCTTGATTTGCATTCTGCGCAGTGGCATGAAACCTTACCTCTACAAATTGCTTCGTGAATTCGGGGGAGTCTAAGTTGTCAACTCCCAATCGACACTTCACAGTGACGGGGATCTGGACGCGTCTCTTCATTTCGTACACGATGTCTCGCACCTTCGTAGGGGACCTCATAAGGGCCGCTCCGAAGGAGCCTGGGAAATAAAAAAACGCTTGCAAGCCAAAACAACCCCAGTCTTCACCATACAAGCACGCATTTTGGGGGGTCACTTCTGTGTAAGAGTAGGACAAAGTAAACATAGGGCACCTCACAAAAACGAAAATTTTGGGCATGTGGACACTAAATTGTGAGGAGAGCCCAGATTTTTACCCTTGTCAACAACACGGCAGCTTGGGCAACCAACATTGAGATTAACTTCGTCGTAGCCAGCCAACTCTGCCCAAGTAGCCGCCTCGGCAACGTTCTGGGGATTTGAACCGCCTGAAAGGAAAAATCTGCAGACCCGGTATCTTTTCCACGTGGTTGATTCTTCAAGCCGAGCACGGACTCTGATACGGGAAATGGAAGGAGTGGGTCATGTTACCAAGCTGGCAAACGATCGGATGCTCTACGTCATCGAAGCCTGGACCAGGTAATACGCATCAGAGAAGGAGAGCACCTTGGGGCTACTGTATCAAACACGCAGTATCCAAGCTAATACACGGCAGCGGCGCTTCAAACAAAACTAGTAGTCAAACCAAGGTGGTTTTCCAGCTGATGCGTGTTGTGCAGTATTGTGGAGTCGACGACCATCTCCGTGTACACGGTGCTGCGCCGTGTAATTAACCGCATGAAATTCCTGAGCATATTTGAAAGGGCTTGAAAGCAGCATGCCTAAACTACAGTCCACAAAACCGTTGGACAAGCACAAATGTGGCAAAGAACACATTCCAGGGAAAGACAGAGACGAAGCCGGAACAGTGTAGTCTCTAGTATGATACGCCTGCACATGCTTTCCATCACAATAATGTGACAGAGTAAACGAACAGTGATTAATGAGCCTCACCTAAAGTGTGTGTTCGATACTGCGATCATGGGCGCCACAGCGAGTAGAGCGCGTGAAGAAATTTCTGTTTCCCCCATCGTATCTATTTCATTGACCAACCATATTACCGCATATTACCGTAGGCCTTCAGTTGATCTAGAAAGCGAACAAGCTCCATGTTCGGGGGCCTTTCTACGAAGGCTAACCACCGCAGGCCCGCAACCCTATCGAAAATCGCCGCATCTCATTTGTCACAAAAACATCGGTAAATCAATGTCCACACATAAATTGCAGTATCAAAAATCTGTCTAAGTCAAGAGAACCCTAGCACAAACAGCCTCTGCTGTGGGGTTCCTGCTATATGAATAGTTGGGCATCTCGCCAGGGTGGCCGGCAATGGGCTCTGCAGAGGTCGATGTATGTGACTGAACGGTCAGTTCATGGTATGTAAACAAGTTCCGCAATGTTCTTTACGTTCAAGACAGTTTGAATTTCATTTCAACTCTTCGTGTTGCAGATAGAATCGAAGATTTTACATATTTAACTTCCATATGCGCACAACGCAGCATTTGCAACTTTACTATTATTGTGATGGGAACAATCGAGCCACGACAGGTAAGATTAGAAACAGCAACAAGAAAATCTTGTTACATCTGGATTTATTGGGGACTGAACGAAGGCGACTATGCCTGAGCCAACTGCGCGACTGAACCGCCCACGCTGAAGGGCTACCTCACAAAATACCCTGCACTTCACCAAACAACCCCACTGAAACTGTACATCGCCTTAAAAGAGTGTTTTATTGGGATACCCAGTCGCATGGCAGCCTTCCACCGAAGGTTCTCAGCCACCAGGGCTTCAGTACACAGAGCGATTGTCCCCGTCCCAGCTTGCAGTGTTTGTTCTTTCTCTGCACTATCCTCGTTGAATTATGGAAATTCCAGTGGTGTCTAGCTGTCACTGTGTTACGCTAACAATGTTGCAGCGGTTTCGTCACATCTGTTCACCCCACTACCGCAGTACGCGAACCATCTACGCGCCGATGCGCTGTCTTTCCCTTTTCGCAGCGAGTGTTGAAGAGAAATAACTAAATGCCCAAATGGAGAGACCTTGGTTGGATACTTAATCCACTTTATTCTCCAAGCTCCGCCCGTGTCCTGCCTCCATGAAGGCAGGCATTGCCGCATACGTGAAATCCTGCAGTAGGAAACTATCCCACGCAGTACACAGAAGATCGGCCGAAATACGCCAACAAGAAATATTTCTTTAATGCTTTCTGCCTCTTAGATGGACGCGCCGCCGAAAGCAGCACTGCCAGAAATTCAACAAATACACAAAAAAGAATTGCGTCTTGCGGAAGAGCTAACCCTTCGAAAAATCTACCAAACCTAGCCATCCGGCACAAGAATAGTCCATAAAGGAGATTTCGGACCTGAAGAACCATGACCACATGCTTCTGGATCACAGACACATAAAACCGAGCTGATACACAGCTCCCTCGGAAGTGCTAGTCACGATTTGGGGGTCCAAGAGCAGCGCAAAGATCCATAAGAAGCAATCCAGCGAAGTTTCGTGGCAGGAAGGGGACCTTCGTTTTGCCCCGCAGCTCCTTTCGTCCAAGGTCCCCCACTTTCTTTCCTTCGCAATGTCGCTGTTGATGCTGCATGCGACGCAACAGCCGCTGCTGTAATGGGTCGTGGTAACTGATATGAAAGCCTTGTAGGGTGGATAAGAGAAGCTGCAGCTTAGGGTGCTGTCGCAGCAAGAGAAGCAGGCAGGTGCGTACTGCAGCAGCAGCACGGGAGTGCCAATCGAGCCTCTCAAATGCCTGCAAAAGAGGACACTGCAGCAATGCAAGCAGCTCGCTGCTACAGCAACAAC